AGTGCAGGGGTTGGACTCGGTGATCTGCTCAGGTCCCTTCCAACCCTGAAAGTCTATGAAACCCAGGCTTTTTTTTTTTTTTTTTCTCCCCAAAAGGTGGTGGGGGCACACCTCAGTATATTCTGAGGCTTTGAAGTACTGATGGTGGTTCTCTTAAAAACACATGCACGACTGACCTGAGACTCGGCCCCTACTCTCAATTAAATCCTATAGTTTCTCCTGACTGGGCAAACTGGCAGTAAACTTTAGCTGGCCAGCTTTGGAGCCTAGTTCACGGAGCAGCCTAGTTCACGGAGCAGCCCAATTCCTTTGGGTACAGCTACTTTCTTTGTTGTACTTCATTAGTAATAGAAGGTCAGATGTACTGTCACACAACTTCAATTGTTGGCTTTGTCTTAATGTGTGTGGGTGTGTGTGTATATATAGGAGATGTCTTAAATTGTCCAAACCTAGGAGGCTTATCCTGTTCCCTTCACTGTATTGGAAAGTGTCTCTCAGCAGCTCCAAAAGCACATACAGACCTTGTTTTCTTTCCATCAATGGAAAGACGGGGTAATGCTTCTCAATGAGTGGTGTTTTTTTTTTTTTTTTTTTTATGTTACGGCCTGGTTAATACTTTAACACAATCAAATCTGACTCTTCCATGTTTGTGGCATATGGCTACAAATGCAACTCTTCCCAAGCCAAAAAAACATTTGTGTTGGTATCCAGAACTTCTAATAAACCCTTTAGTAGGATTAGCCTTTCCTAGAAAGTATTGGAATCTCTGTAAGACGGGATGGGGGGGGGTTGGAAAGAGGGGGCGGAATACTCTAGCATATAAAGTCAAGTCTCATCTTCTAACTTGGGCATGCATTATAGGCTTCTCAAGTACTGAAATGGACTTGCAGGATTAAATAATTTTATTGTAACTATTGCATATCTTGCATGGCTAAAGAACAAATGTTTTTTCCCTTCAAGGATATCTAAATCTGGGTTTAGCTCAAACACTGCAGGGAGGGAAGGGGCTGGCACTTCCCTCTGCGGCAGCGGTGGCCCCTCCCAGGTAGCACCTGGCTTGGGTGGTCCTGGGGGGCACTGCAGCCACAGAGGGAAGCATCGGGCCCTGTGCAGCTCAGGCAGGCAGGCTCCGGAGTGGGGAGGGGATGGGGGATCAGACTCGCCACTTTCCTTCAGTGGAGCCTGCCTTTCTAGGCTGCCTGCAGAGCTGCCTGCAGAGCCCCTGAGCTGCATGGAGCACAGTGCTTAGCTCCACAGCTGTAGGGACAACAAACTAAAACTCCTCAGAGGAGTTTTAGTTTGCTGCACCCCAAGTCACTTAAGGTGCATTATGCTGCTGAATTTGTTTACCGTCACTGTAGCAATGAGCAATACGCTGTCCATGCATGTAAACGCTGACACCATTAAAGTGGTGCAAAAACATTTAGTCTGCTTTAAAGTGTCATGCACACATGCCCATCGTTTCTTCTACATGCAGAACAAGTGCCTGGCTTTCCCCTGGGATTGGGGTAGCATAGAAGCATGTATTGTTGCAACAAGCCAGAGGGCATGCTTTTGATTACCATAATGGAAAAATTTTAAATTTTGCCCAGGTCCACACTTGGGAGGGCTTTGTTTTTCTGTTAACTTTTTAACCGTTTTGAAGCATCATCATGAGATGACTGTATGCATTGTCGTTCAGCATATTGCTCTGAAAAATACTCCTCTGGGTGTGGGCTTGATTTAGAGATGTGCTGCTTTATCAAAATTAGCTTGAGACATTGTGGAGAAAAAAATGGAAATGGTAATGCCTTATTGCACAAGGAGCATGATTCATGCCATGTATACTGAAATGTCCTTCTTCTTTTAATTATGTTTATAAAAGACTGAGTTAACTGCACTGAAGAATGAAGCATTATCCATGGAACAGGGTGTGTTACGGAAAGTGGAAGTAGGAATTTCCCAAAAAGATCCTGATTTCACTCTTCCTCACAATCCATACCAAGTATAAAGTGGCTCAGGCTTGGAACTAGGGGAACTATGCTTCTTGGGATGGAGACAACTGAAGAGATGAGCAGGGCTGTCCTTTTTTTCTGACTCATCTGCTAGTGCTGTTGCTGGGTATTTTTTTAGCCTTCTTGCTCTGATGACTAATGTATAGATGGGTGGGACAAAACAAAGGCCAACAATTCATGTTGTGCACTATCATATAAGCATAACTTCCCGTATCTCCTCCTCATACACTGTACACCTGAACCACGGCATTGTTTCAGCTAGCACCAACAATGGTGCACTGTAAGTGCTGTGCACTGTCTTTGTGCACAGATGGAGTTTCCATATGTTAAGCTACTCTTAAAAAGCATCAGCACATTAGACCGTCTCCTGGAGGGGTGTGGTGCAGGATGTTCTCAAAAAAGAAAATAGCGGATATAGCTGCACTTCTTGTATATAGTACACTATATGTAAGCATACTCCATCATAGGTGGCCATGATCCTGTGTTACAGCTAATACATCTTGTATGACCCTGCTTAATTCTGCAATGCCGTACCAATGGGATTTATTCTTGAAATATGAATGGATAATAAATGACTCAAAGCTATTTGTAGACCAGATTCCCTCAAAGGTTTGTCCCTGTGCCATTGAAGTATGAGGAATGTTGCCACTACTTGAGACTAGAGCAACACTTTTTCTACAGGGGCAAGCACTTGACATTCTCGAGTAGTCTGACAAACTCAAGTGAAACCACTTTAGTTGCATCTTACACCAAGGAATAGTACTAAGCTTTGGATGAGAGACCCCTGCTGTGTTTTGCTTAGCCTTTCAGTTTGCACATGAAAGGCTGTGCTGCACACATGCACATGCTCACACACCTGGGACTACCCTAAAACCATTACACTGTTTTAAAAGTGTGAAAGTAATCTCACGCTTGCTTGTACTTCCAGCTGCTCTTCATGACCTAGAATGTCTCACTTTCCTGCATGGTAACTCCTGTATTCTGTTTTTTTTTTTTTTGTAGAACTCGGGACTGTATGAGTATAAAATCTATGGCAGCCTTCTTGATTGCTCCCCTGAGTTGTGTGCAGATGTCTATATGGATTTGGACTACAGAAAGCAATGGGATCAGTATGTTAAAGGTTAGTAAATGCAACATGCACTTAAAGCTGCTGCAGGATCAAAAGGTTGGAGATTTGAAGGCTTTTATTAACTTTTCTTCTTCAGAGCTGTTAAGGCCCCTTCTTTTTTAAATAGACTTCTTAATGCTCAGCACTTACAGTTGGGGTCAGATTCTCAAAAGCTCCTCCTCCAAATAAGAAAAAAAAATTGGCATAGGATAGCTGAGTTTTTACCTACTCAGCACCCAACTAAGAAACTCTGGCCAACTCTCCCTGGCTAAAGTTCTGGCCAGTATCGGTGACATGTTATATATTCAGAATGAGTGTGTGACTACCATTACAACACATCCAAGCATTTCACAATCTTGGAGGTATTTATCTTCACACAGATAGCTTTTAATGCATGTACTTTTTCTTGGGGTGATGGGTTGACTCATGAAAAGTAGGGACTGGCCAGTATAAGCTGTACAAAAATCTGTTGCCTATCCCTGCTGTGCTCAAACTTCTCTGAAGAAGCAAGGCCTCAAAATGTTAAAACTTGCTAAAGTAACAATGTTTAGAGGCAGTACTATGAATAAAACTAAGCGGGGCTGACTAATAAATGCTTCTGTTATTGCTTTAAATAAAGAAATAATGCATTTCAACTATTTTCAGTATAATTGCAGATGTTTCAACCTACGGAGTGGGTAATTAAAGTTTTGCTGGCCTGCTTTGAACAGTTTGGCCTCTTGTATAGATGGGCTAAAGGAAGAATAAGTGTGTGTAGCTCTTAATCATGTGCCCAGATTTCTTGCTTGAGGATAGATGTATAACTTTAAAACTACGCATTCTTAAAACCACATGCCTTGCTTCTCTCTGGATCATGTCTTTGTATCTTCTTTATCTAGAAAAGGTGAAGATTGATAGCCCTGATCCTGTTTAGGAATAAGGAGAATTAAAAAGCATCAAACCAGTACTCCACTGACCTCTGGTGGAAAAAAATGATAATGTAGTCCCTGCATGGTCATGGCAAACACTACAGCAGGTTGTTGTGACTTCCCACTAGTGATATTGGGTGGGGTGAGGAGGAAGGGCGGACATTTTATTGTGGGCTAAATAGTAAGTATCTATGAACCAGACATAATAGTAACACAGCACTCTCTTAAACCCTATTCTGCCTCTTTCC